CCTAGCTTCCAGTACTATTTTCACTATTTTATCTGTTTTGATAAACGTCTTTGCATTATCTTTGGTTCTACACACGCTAAGGATCAGAAAGGCTGTAAGCATAATAATAATGATAAAGCAATTAAGAGCACAGGTTCTGATAAAAGAGAAAAAAACGAAGATACACATGGGGAAAATGTAAGCAGTTACCGAAGACTCATTACAAAAAAACACAGATTCTGAATTCAGAATGTCTGGCTTCAAACTCTGGCTATCCCGTTTGCTAGTTGTGTAACACTGGTCACGTTATTATTAAAATCCTCTTTGCCTGAGTCTCTTCTTTGATAAAATGGAAATGAGTACTAATATAACTCAAAGGGCAGGTTGAGGATTAAATGATCTACTACTATATGCTTGGAACAGTTCCTGGCATAGCAAGCACTCAATAAATGTTAGGAGCTTTACTGTCTGTCTGCAGGGGATCTGAGCATACACATAAACATGGTGGTAGACTGGAGGGTTATTCCAGAAACTTTATTCCCTTCACTTCTGGAATCCAATAAATCAGGTCCAGAAACAGGAATCTACTTCTAGAAAAGCATTCAGCATTATATCTTACATACAGAAGGCTCAGCATTATATCTTACATAGAGAAGGCATTCAAATAATTTGTTGGATGAGTAAAAATAAAAGAACTGGGACAAAAATAAGAAATTCTGGGAAATGACTTTTAGGGGAAATATCTTCTTTGTGTGATGGTAAAAAGAAAAGATTGGAGCCAAAGACTGAAAAGACAAAACTGAAATTCTTTTAGAGTACGATAGCTCATTTCACTGCAGTTATCAAGGGAATCAACAGTGTTAACTGTTATTCACATGCCAGTAGGAGAAAATCTAGAACTTAAAAGCTTGCTTTTAAATAAATTAGTACACACAGAAAAAAGAAAGTCACGAGGATTTCTGATGGTGATATAACTGATTTCATCCTGTTTTGCTGTGAGGAAGAAATGTGGGGATAGGTAAATATTTAACTTTCTATGGAAACATCAAAATGGTTTCTTTGGAAATGCTATGTAATGAAATAACTAGAGCACAACTTCTATCAGCCAGTGCACAAACTAATCTGAAGCCACACTGTGAACACTGGAAAATTTTTACTTTTTAGCCTCTTATTTCAGAAAATGTAAGCAGAGTCACTAGTCTAGGAGTTATGTAACCCCATTCTGGTTGGTGAGATGTAAAGACTTGTAGGGGATTTGAGGGGAAGGTTTTCCTCCATGAAATAACTCAGTACACCAGAGAGTATCTGTGATCCCTGCTTCTGGACTTGAGGTATTGTGTTAAACAGAGTACAATTCTCAGATCTGCTGCAGATGGAAAAGCCGAAAGGATGGTAGTAATCTATGCCAGTGTGTAACAACCTTGAGCTATAGAACCAATCTTTGAATAATTTACCTCCATGTTTCTCATTGTGGGAGGAGAAATTAAAAACAAGTTTGGACAGCCTGTTGTTTGGTTTTTGCAGACCTCCTAGATTTATTCTCTAATTTTTCCGATCTTTCCTTTAATATTTTCTATCTTTGTTTTATTTGGCTTTCTGGAAGATGTCCTTAACTTTATGTGAGTGAGTGAAGTCGCTCAGTCATGTCCGACTTTTCACGACCCCATGGACTGGCATGGTCTACCAGGCTCCTCTGTCCATGGGATTTTCCAGGCAAGAGTACTGGAGTGGGTTGCCATTTCCTTCTCCAGGGGATCCTCCCAACCCAGGGATCGAACCCAGGTCTCCCGTGTTGTAGACAAACGCTTTACTGTCTGAGCCCCCAGGGAAGTCCTTAACTTTATAGTGTATGTTTATCTGTCTGTTTATATGCACATGCAGATACACACACATATATAAATTCCCTACTATACTATTTTAACTCTTATTATTTTAATTTCCAAGAGCTCTTTCTTATTAATACTTTTGCTTCTTTAATTCAACCATGAAGCAAGAACAGATTATGGATCTTCTGTTCTCTTTGATGTTATAGTGATTTTCACATTTTCTCTGTTCTCTGCACTGTTTCTGAGTCCCTTTTGACCATTTCTGCCATTATCTTTCCTGTTAAAAGCTTTCTTCAAATATCTGGTTATTCTTAACTGTTCATTTGTATTTAAGAGTTACAAACCCTGAAGATGTCAATACTACACAAAGCAATCTACAGATTCAATGCAACCCCTAACAAAATCCCAATGTGTTTGCAGAAATAGAAAAACACCATCCTGAAATTCATGAGAAAAACCAAGGGATCCCAAATAGTCAAAACAATCTTGAAAAAGAACAAAGCTGGAGATCTGCATTTCCACAATGAGATATCCCTTCACACTCATTAGGACAGCTATTATTACACACACACATACAGAAAATAAGTCTTAGCAAAGATATAAAGAATTGTTCATGGGAATGAAAAATGTAGCTGCTTATGGAAAACAGAATGGCAATTCCTTAAAAAATTTAATATACAATTATCTTATGATTCAGTAATTCCACTTCTGGGTATATACATCCCCAAAAAGTAAAGTCAGTATTATTCACAATAACCAAAAGGTGGAAACAACCAACCACTGATGGCAGCCATCAATAGATAAATGGATAATATACATTATATTATATACAGGTATACATACATATATACAATGAAATATTTTTCAGCCTTAAAAAGGAAGAAACTTTTGATACATTCTTCAACATGGATGAAGCTTGAAGACATTATGCTAAGTGAAATCAGTTAGTTACAGGATAAATATGTTAGAATTCCACTTATAGGACAATCCTAGAGTTGCAAAATTCATCGAGACAGAAAGGAGAATGGTGGGTCTCAGTGGGTAATCAGTAGATTACTCACTTAAGGGCCTTCAAATATCAGGACCCACAAGTCTTTTTCCCTTGGCCTGGTCAACTTTCCTCAAGGAAGAAAACTCTCAATTCTGGCCAGGCTCCTCTTCATACTAAATCAAATGGTGGTTAAGTTCAATGTTTTAACTTATTTATGTATTTATTTTCTGTAAACCACTCCCTTGATTAAAATATAAGCTATCTGAAGGCAGAGATTGGGAGAAGGGGATTCCTTTTTTTTTAAATATATATCCCCAGAGCCTAGACAAATACAAATGTTAGCAGGCACTCAATAATTGCCTGTTGAATAAATGAATCAAAAATTTATGGAACACTTATTTCATAATTGTAAACTCAAAATTTAATCTTTAAATTACCATGTGTGAGGTATTCCCATTTTACCAATTAGGTGAGATATAGGGAGGTTAGGTAACCTGTCTGCAGAAATTAAGGCAGAGCTACAATTCAAACACAGGGTCTGTGTAACTCAATGGTTCATCTCAACCACTATATTATACTGCTTTCTATAGAGAAACTGTGTAATGTTAGTCCCTGACAGTAAGAATCTATGTGCTAATGATCCAACCTATGAGGTATAGTCTGCTGTGTCGTTCAGCTGCTAGGTTGTGTCTGACTTTTTGTGACCCCATGGACTGTAGCTTGCCCCTTTCCTGTCCATGAGATTTTGCAGGCAAGAATACTGGAGTGAGTTGCCATTTCCTTCTCCAGGGGATTTTCCCAAGCCAGGGATGGAAGCCGCGTCTCCTGCACTGCAGGCAGACTCTTCACCACTGAGCCACCAGGGTGGCCCTATACCGTCCGAGTCAGATAAAATTCCAATAGTAAAAAGTCTGAAGAGTATGTGTGTGGAGGGGCAAATGAATCCCTGCTATAGGGAAACCGTGTTATTGATGCAAATGTATTACATCTGAGGGTGGGGAAAGTTTCCTGACACAAAAATGGCTGGCAGAAAAACTGCTGGTTAAGTTGTCTAATTCTGATTAACAAGCAATTATCATTTTCATCAGGACTATTTGCCTCCTTGTGACTCCTTTGCTTGTTCTCCTCACACACAAAAGTAAAACAGAGAGCATGTGATATTACAAAATACACTAACTAGCATTCAGAGGTATGAGTTCCAGTCCTAGCACTGATACTAACTGGCAGAGTGCTCTGTGATAAGCCACATAAAGAGAGAATAGTTTATTAGCAGCTATTTCCAAACTTTCAAGGTAATTTTAGAAATATACAAACTTACTTTCTCTTGAAATACAGATTTAACTTACCCTTTAAAAGTAATTAGATTACTAAATTAGAATTTTGGTTTAGGAGTCTGTTGATCCATGCCTAAAAAGTCCCTGGCATTTGAAGGCAAATGGTAACCTGATCATTTGTAATTTAGGGTTATCTCCCAGTATGACTGGTGCTTATAGTTGGAGCTAGCTTTTATGGAGACTGGCAGTATAGTGCAGTGGTAATTGGTATGGGTTGTGGAGCCTGACTGCCTAGATTCTGTAACAGCTTCCTTGCTGTGGAACTTGAGTGACTTACATAAGGAAACTAATGCCAAGAAAGCTTATCTGTGATTATTACAGTAACGGCTACCTCATAGGATTAAGAACAATAACTAATCTTTAAACTTACAATGATGTTCGAGACTGGCTACCAAAGTTTCAAGGCACTATTAAACTGTAACGTTAAGCAATCTTGAGATACTCAAATTTTGTAAATTTTACCCATGAGGAAGCAAAAACCTATTTGCAGAGGACTGGTTCTGGAAACAAGATATTTTGCAAAATTCTCCCCATTTTCTAATACAGCAACTAGTTTGCTGACCTCCAGAAAAGAATGTTTTCTCTTTTTTCAGTAATTTTTTCTTCTTTTCAACCAGGGTAATATTTTGAAGTTTATATACAACTTCTTCTTTAATTTTGCTATTTCCCAAATTACCAAATACTACATATTTATTGTAACAAGTGAAACAACATTATAAAGAGTACAATAAAGACAAAGCTAATTCTCTCTTCCCATATCTATTTTTAATCCCACTCCCTAAAATAACCCATATTACCAATACAAATGCATCTTACAAGTTCATTTTCTTTTTCTCAAAATTACTACAAATATGACACTCAAAAGCTTACCTCCAGATATATTGATGGTGGATTATGCTCCCCACCAAATTTGTCCAATAGGGCCTCTATATGCTCCTGTGTCAACTTAATCATTTGTTTGATATTCCACACCTAAAAAAATTTTAAAAGAATTTAAATACAAATCATTTAGAATATGAATTAGAAATATCTTCATATTCCTACTGAAATATTATAGTAACTTTCAGTGTTCCTTGAAATTTAGAGCTTAGAGATCTCGAGATGATTTATTTTAAACTTCTTCTTACACTAGTAATACAATATATTCTCAACTATAAAACATTTAAGTAATACATGAGTATTCAGGAACAAGCAGTAAAAATCTCTTTTCACATTCCCCATATTTCTGGGTGTCCTGCCAAAAAGTTAAGTCCTATTTATGGTTTGGTATACATTCTTCCATAACTTCTTTTTACTCCAATAAAAAACAAAAATCCATACATATATAAAAGAGACACATACATGTATATTACTTATTAAAATATTCTCAACACTTGCTTTCTTTACCAAACAACATGCCTCCGAATTCTCTCCATGTCAATATGTATGTATTTTGCTTTTATTTTTTTTAGTGTTTTTAAGTATTTGTTCTTTTAATATAGTTTCAGTTTTACTTAACTAACTAACTGATTTTTCTTCATTGCTGTGCACAGACTTTCTCTGCTGTGGTGAGCGGAAGGCTACTTCTCACCGTGGCATGTGGGCCTCTCCTCCTGGTGCCTTTTTATTACAGACACAGGTTCTAGGCACAGAGGCTCAGTGGTGGTGGTGCCTGGGCTGAGCTGCTCCATGGCATGAGGAATCTTCCCGGACCAGGGATCAAACCCATGTCCCTTCATTGGCAGATGGATTCTAATCCACTGTACCACTAGGGTAGTCCTATTTTACACCTTTTAATTGGCTGTATTACAACATCATAAGTTCAGACAAGACAACATTCATTTCATAATGTTAGGACACTGCTTATTTCAATGGTCTTCAAACTTCAAAGGTAACTTAAGGTGAGGTGGATACGGATGATTTTAGGAGAATCATTTCCAGATTTCCAGTGTCTATTTGTATTCTTCCTAACTGATCTGCTTAAGAACTAGTTCTTCTTTCTTCCTCTCCTTTAAAGATCACTGCTTTGTAATTCTCCACTTTGTAAAAGGCAAAATCCTTATCCATCTCAAGTGCATCTACTAACGTGTACTCTTCTGAGCTAAATAAACTTTCAACTACCTAACAAACAAGAAAAGAAGGAAAATCCCTTGACAAAAAAGGGGGCGGGGGGATACTAAGAGCAAGACCTTATTTTATCAGTGAAACAAATTCTTGGGAAGGTTTCAAGCCTTATCCATTTATCCAGAATCCAACTGAGAACTCAGAAGTCTAGTGGTCATAGTATAGGCACACAGTACATGTTTAAGATAAATAAGCAATCAGATTATTTTTTTTCTTAGTGAAAAGTGAGTTCAATCTATCTGAGTGGTGTGAGAACATGCTTTTTGCAAATTACACTACAGTATATATTGTCTACAGATACTCTCTATAAACTGAATGATTTAAATCTGTAATTTTATGGTGTGACTGAAAATGTATTTAACATAAAATATACTCTAGAAATCAAGGCCACTTAAATTATTTAAAGTTATAATGAAAAATGTGAGATAATTTTTTAAATGTACAAAGGAGAGCAAATAAGCAAAGGGCACTGGGTTTATTTAGTAATTCCTTCCTGGAGGACATTTACATTATTTCACCTCTCCCAGCTTTAAACAATACTTCAAAATGGCTCTGTAATGCCTTTCTGGGCAAAGGTAGAAGTTTTCCTTTTAGATAGTGAGGCACAGGATTCCAAAATTGAAGGATATGCATATTTAAAAAATCAGTATGGCAGATGGTCTTCCAAAAGGACAATAAGTACCAAGATACCTCCTATTAGGGTATCAGTCCACCCTTTCCCCACAATCCCACCACAGTGTATATTATCAAACTTAAAAATTTTTCCTGATCTTAATGGGGGAAACGTGATCTTCTTGCTTCAATTTGTATTTCCCAGGAAGTTGAGCATTTTCCACACTTATTGACCATTTAAATTTCTTTATGAAAAATTCTCTATCCATATTCTTTCTCCCTTCTATTTTTTTTCTTTTCAGTTTCTAGATGCCCTTTTTTCTGGATATTAATCCTTATTCTCCTACAAATGCTGCAGTCTTTCCTTCTTTTTACTCTACTTTACTTTTTTTACTTTTACTTTTTACTTTAGTCATAGATTGTCTTGCTACTCAGCATGGTTCATAGACTACCAGCAGCATAATCTTCTGGAAGTTTGTAGGAGCAGCAGAATCTCAGGCCCCATTTCAAACTTACTGAACTTTAACAAAATGATCCTTATTAAAGTTTGAGAAGAAATGACAGAAGTTTCTAGTTTTTTCTATAACCAGATATTACAATATTTTCCTTTATGAATCCTTGGCTAATTTCTCATATCCCCACCAAGCATCAGGATGTCTTTTCTCTAGTTACATTTACTCCCCAAGTAATCTTATCTAATCCCACGGCTTTATATATGTACTGATGAAGTCCAAACTTTTAAATCCAGGTCTGTTCTCTCAACGTCATGGTATTTTTGTTCAGGTGCCTACTGTACATTCCAACATACTTATTAAGATAAGTATTTCAAACTTAACATGTTCAAAAGTTAACTTGATATTTATCCACCAAGTCCTGTTTCAAAATCTGTTTTTCTTACAGTCTCTTCATCTCAGAAAATGACAAACTCCCTCTCTGATGAGTTCACTGACCACCCAGGGCAGAACTGCTTTATAATCAGAATTTAATATTCTAAAATTGATTCTGTTTTTCATGTCTATTAGCTACTTTGAAATCAGAAATAAGTTTTATTCATCTTTTATTCCCTCATCACTTATCTTGGTGTCTTAGTCATTACAGGTATTCAAATTAGTGCTGGAGATAAGATTTAAGCTTTCTTCAGAATAGGATAAGAGAGAAAAATTAATCCTAGTTCAGCAATTCTTTACAGTCCAAGAAATTAAGTACTCTATTACCTACAATCTCTCTTTTTTCTTTTCCCCCTTAAAGTTCCACAGATAAAACTCGTGTGGTTAGGGTAAAGAACCATTCACCCAAAGAATGGTAGAAAAAGAAAAAAAAAAATTAGAGAGGGCAAAGAGCATGCGAGAAATGAGGAGACTGAGCTGATTAGAATTGATTCCTTTTCTTCCTGGCAGTAGAAAATGCTAAGATTTACATAAGGCAGGGCCAAATGACAACTGCCTGAAAGGCAGGTTTCTTAACTTCCAAACAAAAGTAATTTTAAAGACAAAGAATGAAGAAAAATCACTATGAACACTCACTTATAAATAGATAAAATCAGTCTGAGCAAGCAAACTCTTTCAGATTTTTCCTAAAGAATAAGAAAAAAGAAACTGTGATGATAATAATACTTTGATGATATATTAAAAAGTAGAATAAGATATTGTAAAGTTAACAGTAGATATAGAGTTTTGGCTTAAAATGTCTTCCTGAAAAAACAAGAAAAACTGTTACAACAATCCTAAAAGGGAAATGAAAGAATTAAAAACAAAAAATTTCAAGAAAGGTACTAGAAGAATTCCTATCCTTTTTTGATCTCTTCAGCAGAATGTAGCAATTAAAACCAAGTAAAATTAGTAAAGGGCAAAGGCTAATCGAGTTCTGCCAAGAGAACGCACTCGTCATAGCAAACACCCTCTTCCAATAACACAAGAGAAGACTCTACACATGGACATCACCAGATGGTCAACACCAAAATCAGACTGATTATATTCTTTGCAGCCAAAGATGGAGAAGCTCTATACAGTCAGCTAAAAACAAGACCGGGAGCTGACTGTGGCTCAGATCATAAACTCCTTATTGTCATATTCAGACTTAAATTGAAGAAGGTAGGGAAAACCACTAGACCAACCAGGTATGACCTAAATCAAATCCCTAACGATTATACAGTGGAAGTGAGAAATAGATTTAAGGGACTAGATCTGATAGACAGAGTCCCTAATGAACTATGGGTGGAGGTTCATGACACTGTATAGGAGACAGGGATCAAGCCCATCCCCAAGAAAAATAAATGCAAAAAACCAAAATGGCTGTCTGAGGAGGCCTTACAAATAGCTGTGAAAAGAAGAGAAGCCAAAAGCAAAGGAGAAAAGGAAAGATATTCCCATTCGAATGCAGAGTTCCAAAGAATAGCAAGGAGAGATAAGAAAGCCTTCCTCAGTGATCAGTGCAAAGAAAGAGAGGAAAGTAACAGAATGGGAAAGACTAGAGATCTCTTCAAGAAAATTAGAGATACCAAGGGAACATTTCAGGCAAAGATGGGCTCAATAAAGGACAGAAATGGTATGTACCTAACAGAAGCAGAAGATATTAAGAAGAGGTGACAAGAATACACAGAAGAACTGTACAAAAAAGACCTTCACGATCCAGATAATCACGATGGTATGATCACTCACTAGAGTGTGAAGTCAAGTGAGCCTTAGGAAGCAACACTATGAACAAAGTTAGTGAAGGTGATAGAATTCCAGTTGAGCTATTTCAAATCCTAAAAGATGATGCTGTGAAAGTGCTGCACTCAATATGCCAGCAAATTTGGAAAACTCATCAATGGCCACAGGACTGGAAAAGGTCAGTTTTCATTCCAATCCCTAAGAAAGGCAATGCCAAAGAATGCTCAAACTACTGCACAATTGCACTCATCTCACACGCTAGCAAAGTAATCCTCAAAATTCTCCAAGCCAGGCTTCAACAATACATAAACCGTGAACTTCAAATGTTCAAGCTGCTTTTAGAAAAGGCAGAGGAACCAGAGATCAAATTGCCAACATCTGCTGGATCATCGAAAAGGCAAGAGAGTTCCAGAAAAACATCTACTTCTGCTTTATTGACTATGCCAAAGCCTTTGACTGTGTGGATCACAATAAACTGTGGAAAATTCTGAAGGAGATGGGAATACCAGACCACCTGACCTGACCTGCCTCTTGAGAAATCTGTATGCAGTTTAGGAAGCAACAGTTAGAACTGGACATGGAACAACAGACTGGTTGCAAATAGGA